AAAGGTCCTCGCCCCCGGGGAAACCGAGAGGGGAGCAGGAAAAGCCAGCTTTAGCTGGTGTGATCATGTGACACTTTCATCCACCAGAAATCTTGCAGGTTTCCCCTGTGGCAGGAGAGGCCACATTTCCAGAGTCCTGTGTTTTTCCTTCCACAGGGACAGGCCCTCCAGGGGTGGGAGGGAACCGTGGCCCTTCCGGCCAGTCAGGTGGGCAGGGCCACTGGGAAAGGGAAGGACGTGGCCAGGGTGGCTGTCGGGTGTTTGGGGGTGTTGGAGGGGGGAAGGATGTTAACAGCTATTACAGGTGGAACTTTGAGGTCAGAAGGCCCTGTGCACAGCCTTCATTGTCTTCAGAAAGAAGTGCACAGAAAATATAGCTGATATTACTGTGTTACTTTAGGAAGAGACAGAAATGTTGAAAAATATTCTAAGACTGTTTTTTCTGTGAGCTGTGACTTCCCCTTGGGGATTGTCCTAAGAGCAGGTTTCAGCTGCTGGCCACAGCTTTTGGTCATCTGCTCTGGTCTTCTGGATGTGACGCCATGTGGACATCGGGACGCAGCAGCCCTGAGTTTGCGTGGGTTTCACGAGCATCTAATAGCACATTTGTACAACACGACAAAGGCACCAGGGGTTCAGAACCCAGAAAGGCAGGCTTGGTATTGAAACATGATTCCCAGATGAAAGCATTCAGATGGAAGGGTCAACTAACAGAAAAGATGTTGCCAAAAATCAAACTCCAGTCACGTGGAAGGTCACATCAAGGGATTACTGCAGATCTTGAAACAGAAACGTGTGGAAGGGATAATTGTGAGAGCAAATTTAAGTGACACAGACACAATGTCTGTCTGTCAGGGTTTCCAGAAGAGGAAAAGGAAGAGAGCGTAAGAGAAGAAACAAAGAAAAAAAGTGAAGCAATGTCCGTAGTGCAAGGAGATTTAAGACTTTAGTCCTAAATTATACTCCAAGAACCAGACAGTGGAAAAAAGAATATATCTATGGTGGTGAAAGTGAGAACTTCGAGGACACAGAGTCCTACAGGTCTCCCGGAAGAAGAAACAATGAGATTACCTATGACACGATGTAACTGGCACTTATAAAGTTCAAGTGCTGAGTCTTCTGTCCTGAGATGGACCAGCCAGCCTGTCACTGAAGGTGACACAGGGCAAGCCCCCGGGAGGCGTGGAGACTCAAGCGCACCCACTCACCTTCTCCCAGAGATCTTCTGAAAAGATTTACTCCATCAGATCTGAGAGTCACCCTGACACCCCGGGCACCTCAAGTTCAGAATGCAGGGCCGAGTGGGTGGGTCTTCAGTGAAAGCCGGGGCCCACGGCGCTGGCCGCGCGGACACCCGCCAGCCCGTCAGCAGGCCTGCCATGTGGTGGTGCGAGGTGGCACCCGGGACCCCCGACCCTGACCCAGGGCCTCCTGCATGCAGACCTGGCAACCGTGGCCAAAGTCCTTCCTCTCCAGGCCCCGCGCTGGGACGTCGGGATCAGCTGGGTTGTTCTGAACAAGAGGACCTGGGGGAGGAGAGAGCAGACGGGGTGGAGGGGCCGCGGCCCATGCTCGTCCCGCGCCTCTCCTCGTGAGCCGCACCCTGCGGCCGAGGGGACACGCGGGGTGACGAGAGCCACGCAGGGCCGCGAGCGCTCGTCATCCATAGAATGTTCACGTGGGGCCGAGCCCTCTGCCCCAAGACGGGACTGTCCCCGCCTTCCTGTCCGGCTCCACCTCTCACCGCGGCCGTGGCTCGTCCTGCCGGCTCCTCTCCACTCAGCACCCCGCCAGGCGCCAGGTCCCCCGCCGCCATGGCCACCGCTGCACGGCGCAACTGGAACCCCTCAGGCCCAGCGACCGGCGCGGCGACAGGCTCTCCTGCCCCGCCCGTCCTGAGACACGGCTCCACGCTGCTGCTGCACGCGGACACACATCACACGCCACACACACACACACGTGCATGCACATTCATGCACGCACACAACACACGTGCGCACACCACACACACACACCACACGCGCACACACCACACACCACACACGTGCACACCACACACACACACGCACACCACACACACCACACACGCCACACAGAGACATAGACACAGCACGTAGCACACACACACGCCACACACATACATGCACACCACACATACACACACACATGCACGCACACAACACACACACACACACACCACACACGCCACACAGACATACCGACATAGCACACAGCACTCACCACAGCTGCACACCCTCAGGTTTCTGGGCTCGTTCCTCACTGCTCGGTGTTTTCCAGGCTACTTCCTGGGCCGGGGCCCTGGGGCCATCTTCTGCCCCTGCCCACCCTGGTAACAGCCGCCTTCTCCCTCCGTGCCCTGTCCTGGCGCCACCTCCCCTGGGTCATTCTGGCTTCACTACAGGGCAGACCGCTGGTGTTGGGCTCAGGAAATTAGCCCTGTTTGGGGCATAATGGTGCCTGGGTCCACTTTTTGCCCCACTTTGGTTCCTGCATCTTGTTTTCCATCTTCCCTGGGGCTCCAGTCTGTGTTTGGTGCTGGGATGACCCGTAAGGTCATTGTCACCTCCAGGCCCCCGACACGACCATGGCCAAGATTCACAGGCTGTGGTCGCCATGGAAGCAGGGGTGTCCCAGGTCTCCTGACTCACCTGTCCGCAGTGCAGACAGAGCCCCTCCCACCCCGTCCCCAGTCTGTTCCCACACCATCCACACTGTCCCCACCCCGTCCCCACCCTCCCCGGAACAGGGCATCAGGCTGGCTGCACGCTGCGTCCTGAGCCAACCACGACCTCTGTGAGCACGTTTTCTGACCGTCCCCCAGCACAGATCCTGGCAGCTTCTGGACCCGTGTCTCACCCGCGTCCCACGTGGTCCTGGACTCCCTGCAGACGGAGGGGCAGAGCAGACAGAGGGGCGAAGCACCCGCCTTCCCCGCAGCCGGACGCGCAGCCAGAACACACTCTCCTCACTCCTCTCACGATTCGCAGGTCCTGGATGAGTGGGAACGCAAAGTGCCTCTCGCTCAGCCCAAGCCCACGTGAGGGGAGCCGGGTCTCCTGGCAACACTAAATGGACACCCAAGACGTGTCACAAAGCCGGGGCCCCGCCCCCGGTACGCATCACCAGCTCTAGGGGCGCGGCAGGGCGGCACAGGGGCAGGCCCAAGAGACCCTCAGGAGGGACCCTCACCACCCGTGCCTGAGCCTGGAGAACTTCAGCCCTCGGTGAAAAGGCGGTGGGCTCGTGCCCCCGACCCACTGCTTCAGCAGCTCACGCCGGGGGAGGCCAGGGCGTCCATTACAACCTCGTCCTCACACTTGACCCAGGAGCCGAGACTCCAGGCTCTGTCCAGGGTGCGGGCGCCTCTGTCTGGGCTGCGCTCCCCCAGCCTGACGCCCCGGGTGCCCCCTTGAAGGCCACGGAAGGGCCACAGCAGGGGCAAGGAGGGGAGCACGGGGCATGTGGACACAGTGCCGAGTGGGCAGCTCAGGCCACAAGGATGGCCAGCCCACTGGCTCAGGGCCTCTCCTCCCCCACCGCCTCTCGCCACATCGTTTCGATTCCTAAGCTCCAGAAAGTCCTGGTTCCTGAGTGTGGTGTCCAAGGACTCCTATCTGAAGGCCCTGAGTGCGGCCAATCACCAATCGCGACCCTTCCTTGGTGGGGACAGGGAGGGTGGACAGGGACATGTCCCCTCTCCGTCCACAGAGGCGGCCTCTCGCAGGCTCCAGCCGCCCATGCCCCACACACCTTCCTGGGGAGTCACGGCGCCGGGCAGGCCGGGCGCTGGAAAGCTGACTTCCTCCAAGCAGTGTGGTGGCCCTACTGCCGGGGCCTGCAGGGACGGCTGGGTCTGGTGCAGATGGACAGAGGCACGAGTGGAGGAGCCGGCAGGTTACGAGGCCCCCTGGGTGGGGCTGGGGCCGGTTAGGAGAGGGGGGCTCCTCCGCAGGTCAGGGACCCTCTGCTGGGCCAGCAGCAGAGATGGAGGCTGACTCTGCTGTTGGTCAGCCCTGTGCCCCAGCCTGACCGGCCCCTCCCCGCTCACCTGGTGTCCATTCCCTCAAACTGCAGTGCTGCCTTTGACCCGACGGCACTGTCCTGGGAGCACAGCACCACCGGGATGAGGATGCCCATCCTGGAAATCCCGGCTGACCACAGCCGGCAGGGGCGTGGGGGGCCACAGGCCTCCCGGGATCGCCCACCTGGGGCCCCAGGGAATGAGGGGCTGCAGGCTGCTTCCAGGGCCTCTGCGCGCGGTGCCCGCCGTGAGCGGGCCCAGGCTGGCACCTCCACCCAGAACGCACTTCCCAGGGAGGCAGGCGCCAGGACGGGACCAGGCAGCCCCAGGGCAGACCATCAGGCCGCCCGAGCAGGGTGTGACCGCGAGAATCCAGCCCGCCGCGCAGTAGAGGCCGCGGGCTGTGGCGAGCGTCCGAGCAGTGAGCTCTGGTGACTGAAGGCACAGCTCAGCCCCGCAGACAGCGTGGCGCTTACTCCGTGCCCTCCCTCTCCCGAGGTCCGGGCCCTGGGAGCCCCGCGGCAGCCACAGCTCCTGCCTGCAGCAGGCATCGCCCAGGCTGCTGGTCAGCGTGTCCTCACGGCTCTTCAGAGTGCTTTCTGGTTAAGAGGAACGTCCCCACAGCCTCCTGCACAGAACACGCTTCTCCAGAAACACATGTGAGGCCGGTGACCGGTGCAGGGGACTCCGCACCCTCGGGGTTTGGGGGGCTGATGACCTCAACACCAAGTGCCCCCCAAGTCCAGCCGGCCCCAGAGCATCGCCCGTGACTCTGAAGGAGGCCACCTGGGACTGAGGGGCAGGCGCTCACCTCCCAGGGCACCCCAAGTCTGCAGTTGTGAGGGCCTCCCGACTGGCCCAGGGCCCGGTGAACTCAGCTGCTCACACTTTGGAGAAATGGCCCTCCTTCAGGGGCATCGCTGCTCCATGGAACAACTGTAAAAGCTACAAACTCAGGGCCCGCTCGCCACGTGAACATGCACAGCCACGATCCTCGGCCGGGGCAGCCAGGCCTCTCCACACCTAAACCCACCTCGGCCCGCTCCTGTCCCCAAACTGCTGCGTCGTCCCCTCCCCGACCCAGACCCCCACCTGGTCTTCACGGAGGGACGGATCAACAGGCCTGGAGTTCGGGGCACTCATGCCTCTTGTGATAAGTAGCGCTCTGTAAGCCTGCCTGTGCGCACCCGGGACAGGAAAGCGGCCCTCACTGGGAGGGTCTCCAGCCCAGGTGGGGGCCCAGGTGGGCGCGGAGGGGGAGTGGCCACGCCAGAGACGGCGGCGGGCGGAGCGCGAGGCAGGCGCGGGCGCTGGCACAGTGCCCACCGGCGCACGCACGCGCCCCTCACAGGCCTTGTTCTGAGGGAAGCTTCCAGTAGAAAAGCGCTGTAGACGACGGACGCTGGCCATGCCGCACTGCCGCCCAGGCGGCCTCCAGAAGCAGCCTTTTGTTTTCTCTCTCCGGGGAATCAACAGTCCCCCATGAGGCCTGCAGCCAGCCCCCTCCGCCCCAGCCAGCTGGGCAGTTACTCTGACCAGGAGTGCCCGCGCGTCTCGGCTGGGATCCTGCCGGCTTCCTTAGGCAGAGGGCCTGGCACGGAGGCCCCAGGTGCCCCGGCTTCATGGCCGCAACACCCCCAGGAGTGGCCTGAGCCCCGGTAGGGTCTGTGGTGAGGGCAGGTCACCCGCAGGGCCCCACTAACACCTACTACAACATGGATGACCCTTGAAAGCTGTGCTGAGAGACGCCAGGCCCAAAAGGCCGCAGAGTGCATGATTCCACTTGAACACAATGTCCAGGGCAGGGACGTCGGCGGAGACCGAAAGCAGAGTGGTTTCCAAGGGTGGGAGGAGGGGGGCCTGGAGGTGGCGGCCAATTGGTGGTTTCCTTTCGGGGTGATGGAATGCTCTGGAATTTGAGAGATGGTGGTTTACGAAAACATGGGGGCCTTGGTCGGAGGGCCCTCCTTCCCAGCAGGCGTGCAGCTCCGAGCGGCAAGGCGTCCGTCCGGTGAGTGCGGGTCCCTGGGACACCCTGCCGCGTGCACCAAGGCACGGGTCCGACCTCCTGTGTTCACAGCTGACACGGCCATTGTGGTGGAGACCACGCCCTCAGGGGAGTCTGGGCTCCAGGGACTCATACTGTGTCTCGGTGGCCTTGCCCTCGTGTGCTATACCCCACGTCACGCTGGCGTCTACTGGAGAACTCCGGCTGCGGGCCAGGGAGAGGCCACGCCCGCGGGGCTGCACCGTGGGGACCCCGCCTGGGATGCACAGGGGTCCCGGCCTCCTGAGCCCTGCTGGGGGCAGAGCCCACTGCCATCCCAAGGGTGGAAATCCAGATCCTGCCCCTCCCGGCCTCCCCACAGCTGGGGCGGTGGCTGAGGTGGGGGGCTGGGGGGGCCTGCAGGGCACTGGAGGGCCAGCCACAGGGTTCGGGCCCAGCTCTGCGGCCGGGCTGCGGCCCTGTGTAGGCAGGGAGGACGGCTGCCCTCCAGCCTGCCCCGGGCGTCTGCTCCGTACCAGCCCTGCTGATAAACTCATCTGCTCACAGCAGCCACAGCTGCTCCTGACGCTTCACCTGTGAGATGCTTCGTGCTCCCCTTTCCCCGGTGCTCGCGGGGATCCTCATCTGTCCAGACAGCGAGGCAGCCAGCCCTGCTCCCTGGCCTCTTGGCCACACGCCTCTCCCAGGACTGACCCTGCCCCGGGAGGTAACGGAGGCTCCGGTTTTACGTTTCACGGCAAGGGAACAGAACAGGAAGCTGTGCGGGGATGGGCGCGACCCCGGACGTCACTGCGGTGCCAAGGACCGGGCCAGATTCGGAGGAGGCCACAGGAGACGGGGCTAGGAAGAAGGAATGCCATCCAGCTCACATGACAAGCGCTTTTACTAAGTCACGCAAAAGGGGGCACCTAGCAGTGCTGTAAATAACTATGCGTAACGACACTCTTTGTGTGTCTTTTTATTAAGACCTGTATTTACATTCTGCAAATACAAACAGGCTTCCAGTAAACACATCCAGAGCAAAGAGCGTTTTCGGACACTTAACCCTTCACCATGGCCAGCAGGACAGGCCAGCTGTCAGCAGGGGGCGCCCCTCTCAGCACAAGGCTCAGAGAGCGGCGACGCTGCCCTCACTCCCAGCCCCCACACGGCCCCCGCCGTGACCCGCCTGGGAAAGGTGGGGACGTGGGGCCGTGTAGGATGCCGCAGGGAACAGAGACAGACGCACCCACGTCTGCCTCCCGAGGGCTTCTCCCAGAGGACGCGGGGCAGACAGGTGCGTCCACACAGGCACAGAGGAGGACTTCACCGCCACCGAGAAGCTCAGAGACAGACCACAGCAGCTTCCCGGCATCTGGCCACACGCCCTTTACGAGTGATCTCCAACTCTTCAGGACGCACAGGGCCATTCACAGAAACGCTGCATCCCAGTGCGGCTAACACGATGACAGACAAGCCACCACCTCCCGGGGCTGCTTCCCGCACGCCAAAGGGGACAAAATGAAAGTCTTCGTCTCATGACAAAAACTCTGTACATGCAAATAAAAGCTTACAAAATAAGAAACAACCAAAGGCCACCTACAGGGCTAGCTCTTTGTGGAGGCTGCGGGCTCTGGGGACTGAAGAAACTCGTACGGGTCGTGGGTCCCCTCGGGCTGCTCCCCAGCACTGAGGCGAGAAGGGCTTCCTGCAATCACGGGAGAGGAGGGACGTGTCACCCCAGGGTCTGCCACACGCGCGCAGCTCACGACCCTCCTTCAGGGGCATCGCTGCTCCACGGGACAACTTTAAAAGCTACAAATGCACGTGTGCTGAACACGAACGTCCGCGTGGCTGCAGCCAGCTGAGCCCGGGCCTCAGCCCCGAGCCGTGGCTCCCAGGGATGGGCCACCCGATGGCCCCAGAAAGGGGGCCCCGAGCCTCCACGCAGCAGGGCTGCTGCTTCTGCAGGAAGGAAGGCTCCTCGGCCGGGGGCCTCAGACAATCCCAGGCTCCAGAGGAGCCCCAGTGTCACCCTGAGTCCACCAGGACCTTGGGACCCTCTTATCTGGAGCTGCCCCAGGGTCACCTGGAACCTCCTTCACATGCCTTTATCACAAGGTTAACGGGACCAAAATGCTGGTCCTTAAGACAATTTTAGCCAAACCTCTACAGGTGATCACTCATCGCCCCCTCCCCCAAACGCCAAGATCTGTTACATTGAAAGAGTAACTCGGTGTCTGTATCTGGGAACTAAAACAGCAGCGTGAGGACTCATCTAGCACATTCAAGCAGCCAGGAGACGCACTGTCCGGGCGGGGTCCCGACACACCCACCCACCCTCACTGGTTCAACAGGGGACTCCCAGGCCAGGCAAGGTCCTGTGCTCTCCCCACACGAGGGTCCTGCAGGAACACACTTGTCCACATGCTGCTTCAGGACCACAAGTAGGAACAGCAGAAAGAAAGCAACGTTCCCAATCCCTCACTCTGGAGGCTGGCAGGTCCACGGCTGGGGGCTCCTCCTGACACAGGACCTGCAGCACCTTCCGGCCAAGCCCCCAGATCCCTAGACTGAGTCCCACCCAAAGCCTTCACCTCAGTGCAGCCGCCTGGCCCGGGAACCCCAGGGGCCAGGGCCCTCCCAGCCGCGGCCCACGCCACTCTGCACGAGGCGGCCTCACCCAGGTGGCGCTGGTCCCTGTCAGAGGCGTTGGACAGGGAGCTGAGGTTGGAGGACGGCCGGGAGCCTCCACGCTCTGCCTGCGCCTCCTGCAGGTCCTGAAGGAGCTTCGTGGTCTCGTCCAGGCTCAGGTGGCCATCGTCGTGGTCCAGCTCCTTCTTCACTTTCCCTGCACACACGGGACGATGGGATGTGGAGGCCGGCCAGCCCGTCCACCCGCAGCCACGCTCGCTCGTCACCACGCGCACCAAGGACGACAAACGCCTGGCCGAGTCTGCCCTGCGCCAGTGTGAGGGTGGCCTCTTGGGGGGTCAAGAGCCGCACACATGCTGTGGTCACCTGCGGCCCAAGCCCCCGGAAGGGCGCGGCCTAATGGTGGGACCACGTCCACCCTGCACTGACCTGGCTCTGTACCCTAAGACAGCCTAAGAAAAACCTGGACAGGGCCCGACGCTCCAAGCTGCCTAACGACCATCGGAAGAGCGCCCGGCACGTGCAAAGGCGCCGACTAAATCCAGCGCATCCCACCAGCCACGCCCAGGCAGGCAGAGAAACAGGGACACGCAGCCCCACCGGGGGAGAGCCCTGCGAATGAGATGCGGGGACAGAGATTAGGAACACGCACCGCGTGTTCCAAAGGCAAAGGACACGTGACCGGAGGCAAGAGGGGGACGACGCAGGAAAAGTGGGTGGAGCTTCTGGGGGTGAAGAGAATGGCAGCTACGGCGAGCCCAGGAGACTGACAGGTCAGCAGAAGGGCGCCCAGCGCCCCCAGGACTCCGCCCGCCACGGCCCGAAACCAAGCAGAGAGAAGACCAAAGGCAGATGGGCAGAGTCGGGCTCAGGGGGGTGCTGAAGAACTACAGCCAGACTCCCCACATTCAGCTCCAAACCCCAGGCCCAACGACGAAACGCAACCCGTGAAGAATAAACCTAAAGGAGAACAAACCAGGGCTGCTGTAACCAAACTACCAAAACCAGGTAAAATGGAGAAAGCCTCAGACTCCGCGAGAAGAAAAAGAACAGTTGCTCAGAAGCCAGACCGGCCCTAGGCTGGCTCCCACCGCCTGAGTGACCGAGGGGTCGCCGTGCCAGACCGTCTGGGCCACAGTGTGCTTTGTCCTGGGCCCCTGCCTTCCTGCTGGGAGTCTGGGGCCAGGGCTGGGCCAAGCAGAGGGTGCCGGTCGTCACAGCTCCGGCCGGGGGCTCGTGGGGAGGGCGCTGGCAGCTGGGGCCGGGTCTCCCGCAGCAACACCCCCCCGGGCCCCTCCGAGTCCTGGGGTCCTAAGGAATCACACCTGGGGGTGGTCCTGGGGACCCCTGAACCGCTGGGAGACCAGCACACAGCCAGACGGCAGGCTGGAGCACAGTCCTATCCACAACCGCGCTGAACACCAAGGGTCTGACGCGCTTCAACCAGAAGCAGGGCCTGCCAGGCTGCGTGACGGAGGGTGACGGGGTGACGAGGTCCACTTCCAACAGCAGGCGGGGCCCGGACGCAGCCCCCGGCCGCAGACCAGGCCATTCTTGCTGGGGCTCTTCCGGGGCTCCAGGGCGGTCAGCAGCACCTCTGGCCTCTGTCTACTTGAGACCAGAAGCACCAGGTCCCAAGTGTGAGGCCAAAGACGTCTCCAGAGGCTGCCACAGGTCCCCTGGGGGAACTGCCCTGGGCGAGACCACCGAGGAGACGCACAGTACGTCCAGCAGGTCTGAAGGGGGAGGGGAGGAGACGCACCACGAAAACCACTGGCCACGAGGGGCTGGGAGGGCCTCGTTGGCACACAAGAGCCGAGGGGAGCACAGAGGCATCTTCCCCGATGGGGCCAGCCCAGTGGGCACACGTGGACGATGGTGGTGAGCACACCGATGCACTAGCCGGGGGCGGGACCCCAGCAGACGATTCCCAAGGATGGGGCCTGAGGTCAGACAGGAGAGCCGGGCAGGCCCCATCTGCAGTCACCTGGGGGGTCCTGAGGATGGGGGTCTTCATTGTGCAGCCAATGGGCAGGGCCGAGCCACCCTGCCCCCCGGGAGGTACCCGGCACAACCTACCCAGACAGCCGAGCACGGAGATGTCCAGAGAGACGTCCGAATAGGACTTCATGGCCATGAAGTCCAAGGTGGAGCCACCATCCCCGAGAGGGTCCCCCGCCTGCAGGAGACAAGCGATGTGAGACAGGAAAGGAGAGGAAGCTGACACGGATGTAACGGCCTGCCAGCCACGGGGAGGCCAGGCCTGTCGCGTCGTGTCCACCCCGAAGAGCCCACACCGCAGCCCAGGGGTGAGCTCCCAGTGGATGCCTGTACCTGGACCAGCAATGAAGGCTGCTGGTCTCTGGGGACCTACAGGCGCTGAGGGGACCTGAGAGAGACCCAAGACCTGAAGGGCCAGGCTACCTTCCAGGAACTTAACAGATAACGCGGCAGATTCCAGAGCAGCGCACTCTCTTTCCTTCTCTGGGCTGACCCACAGAGGCCCTGCTGCGGGCCAGAGCGGCCGAGTCCCTGCCCAAAGCAGCCTGCAGCCCATCCCAGCTCCTCGCAGACTGTGTGAGGCTGGCACCCAACGCCACACGTGTCTGTGTAACCCAGACAGAGACCCGAGCAGAACCCTGGCCGCCCCGTGCACCCAGGGGAGATGCCCTTGGCACCTTCTCCAACTCTGCCCATCCAAGGGCCTCCACCTGACAGGCACCTGACGCTCTGCCCGGGGTGGGCCCCCCGGTCACCAAGGCCAGGTGACCCCTGGAGTCCAGGCCCCCACACCCTGCCCAGAGTCCTGGCGTCTCTGCCCACGTGGCTGTGTGCAAAGCTGGGGGCCACAAGTGCTCCAAGTCACCCCAGGGCAGGATGAGGAAACCATGGCCGGACCACAGCAGAGCATTTCCTCAGACAGTGCCCGCACCGGTGCCGGCAAGGCCCCGGGACGCCCCAGCTGACAGCACGTGTCCGCCGGTGAGCCCGCCTTCTGGGAGGACCGGAAGACCCCTGCTCACCCTGCGGGCCGCCCCTCCAGCCCGTGAATCCCTCTGTCCAATTTGGAGGAATGTGCTGTGCCCACACCCTCAGTCCAGTTATCACAGTCGGGATGGGGGGACCACCACTTAAGATTCCCCATCAGCAACGTAGCCAGTTTCTAAATAAAGTATCTCAACCATTTCAAAGGCCAAACACAGCTGTCCTCACGGGAACCCAAACCATTAGGTTTCTACTAACTTGTCCACGAGACGCACCTTTACTTCATCCAGAGGCTTCGTCGGAACACTTCTCCTCTGCAAAGCAAGAGACAAGAACCAGTGTTCCACAACAGTTTTACACAGAACCACTCATCCAGTCGCCCACGCATGAGGTGGACGCGGCTCATCCGCTGCTCCGAGCTGGCCCTCGTGGGGTCGTGCTGCACTGTGAATCACACGGCCCGTGGGGCCCGGCTCACGAGACCACCCTGGGGTGAGGTGGACACCAAGGAGAGCACCCCAACCTGCGTCTGCATCCCGGGGGGCAGAACACCAAAGAGGAAAGTCAGACGTTGGAAAAACAGCCAATGGTTTAACCTGGAAGACGGTTTAACCCAGGAGGTAGAGAGATCCAGAGACCAGCTGGATCCCGACAGAGCAGGATGCCTGTGGTGCCACCGCCCTCGCAGGGATGGGGCCACAGGCCAGGCACCCTTCTCTCTGGCCGGCTCAGCGCCAGGGGAGGGCGTACACTTGACCACCCCTGTGACCACCACTCTGACCAAGCACAAAGGTTGCACTGAGCCGTGTCCTGTGATCTGGCAGGAGCACTGTGTGAAACCACCCTAGTTCTGTGGATGAACCTAGAAAGTTACTCAGCCTGCACGCTCTCCATCTGCAATCTTTTGCTCAAGATGGTGTTTCTGAGACCCGCTTGTGTTAAAAGCTTCACAACTCTTAAGTAGAAAAATAAATACTGCCATTATTTTAACATCTATTTCCTCACATGAACTTCTGCTGACATATATATTTCATTATTGGATGTTATTTATGCTATGGCACATCTGAAATTATGCCACTCTGAACACAGTTCATTCAGAAAATTGATCAAACTGTTCTTGCCTTCTTTGTCATAAATTGGTCATAAGTGGGTGGGTTTATTTCTGGGCTCTCTATTCTGTTCCACTGATCTGTGTGTCTGTTTTTGTGCCAATACCACACTGTTTTGATTACTCTAGCTTTGTAGTACAGTCTAAAGTCTGGGAGTGTGATACCTCCAGCTATTCTGTCTCAAGATTGCTTTGGCTATTTGGGGTCTTTCATGTTTCCGTATCAATTTTAAAATTATTTGTTCCAGTTTTGTGAAAAATGCCACTGGTATTTTGATAGGGATTGCACTGAATCTGTGGACTGCCTTGGATAGCATGGCCGTTTTAACCATATTACTTCTTCCAACGCAAGAAAGGACAGTCTGTGCAACAAGTGGTGCTGGGACAACTGGACAGCTACATGTAAAAGAATGAAATCAGAACACTTCCTAACACCATATACAAAAATAAACTCAAAATGGATTAAAGACCTAAGTGTAAGACCAGAAACCATAAAACTCCTAGAAAAAAACATAAGCAGAACATTGATATAAATCGTAGCAATATTTTTGTTTTTGGATCTGTCTCCTAAAGCAAAGAAAATAAAAGCAAAAATACACAAATGAGACCTAATTAAACTTAAAAGCTTTTGCACAGCAAAGGAAACTATAAACAAAACAAAAAGACAACCTACTGAATGGGAGAAAATATTTGCAAATGATATGACCAATAGGGATTAATATCCCAAATACATAAATAGCTCATACAATTCAACATCAGAAAAACAACCCACCCAATTAAAAAATGGGCAGAGGAATTAAACAGACATTTCTCCAAAGAAGACTTACAGATGGCCAACAGGCACATGAAAAGATGCTCAACGTCGCTAATCATCAGGGAAATGCAAATCAAAACCAAAATGAGATCACCTCACACCTGTCACAGTGGCTGTCATCAAATAACAAATGCTGGAGAGGGCGTGGAGAAAAGGGAACCCTCCTACACTGTTGGTGGCAATGCACATCGGTGCAGCCACTATGGAAAAACAGTATGGAGATTTCTCAAAAAAACTAAAAACAGAACTACCACGTGATCCAGCAATTCCACTTCTGGGTATATACCCAAAATATATACAAATTCGAAAAGATACGTGCACTCCAACGTTCACAGAAGATTATTTATGTTTGCCAAGACATGGAAGCAACCTAAGTGTCCATCAACAGATGAATGGATAAAAAAGATGTGATGTGTATGGGTGCGTGCATACGTGTGTGTATATATATATATGTATATATATATATACACACACACACATACACACATATACATACAACGAAGTACGATTTAGCCATAAAATAGAACGAAATTTTGCGACTGGCAATAACATGGATGGACTTGGAGGATTTTATGCTACGTGAGATAAGTCAGAGAAACACAAATACTGTGTGTTATCACTTATATTTGTAACCTAAAAACCACAACAAACCAGTGAATACAACAAAAAAGAAGCAGACCCACAGATACAGAGAACAAACTAGTGGTAACCAGTGGGGAGAGGGAAGGGGGGAGGGGCAAGATAGGGGAGTAAGAGGTACAAACTACTCTGCACAAATAAGCTGCAAGGATGTACTGTGCAACACGGGGAACAGAGCCAATATTTTATAATAACTAGAAATGGAATATAAACTTTAAAAATTGTGAATCACTATATTGTATACCTGAAACTTACGTAACATTGCACATCAACTATACTTCAATAAAAAAATGATAAAGAAATAAAAGCACAATCTAGGCTTCACACACAAAAAAGAAAAAAGATACCTGAAGAAATAAAGGCTGAAAATATTCCATGTTTGATGAAAACTATACACCGAGAAGCCCAAGAAGCTCACCAAATGTTAAGCAGAATAAAGACAAGAAAAGCACATGAAAAAACACCAAAAGTAAACGGATGTAAGTCAGTTATAGAAACTATAAGTTTCAAGTGTCTAGAGCAACAGGCAGCACTTTTTCTCCAAATGGCTGGAGAGCAAATATCTGAAGCTTTGCGGTCATGCACGGTCCGTAGCACGTTTTTCTTTTTTTCTTTTAAATCTTCAAAAACTGTAAAAAACATTTTTAGCTTATGGGCCAAAATTTGCCAATCCTTGACCTTGACCAAAAAAAGACACATTAAAAGTGGAAAACAAAGATAAAAATGACTGCAGACACTTCCTCAGAAACAAAGCGAGTAAGCGACCATTTTAAGTAGAGGCTAAAATGTCACCCTATAATTCCACACCAGGAAGGTGACTTTCAAAAACGAAGGAAAACGAAGACACTTTTCAGATTTAAAAAAAAGCTGAGTAAATTCGCAGCCAGCAAATCTGTCCTTTAAGAAACTTCAAAGGAAAGTTTTCAGGACGAAGGAAACTGACAGCAGATGAAAGAATTGTAGGTCTAGAGACTGATGGAGAATACATGCCAGACAGAGAGGAACTCTGTAAATTTCTCTGAAAGATAACTGACTAAAGTAAAAACAAAGAATAAATAGTAGTCAGTGAGGGAGAAACAGCCCCCGACCACCTGAAAACAGCACATCCCCTAGCGCCCAGTCTGGCGGGCACAGGAGTGGCCCAGCGCACCCACCTGCCTCAGCTGGAAGAGCATCCGCGAGTGGTCCCCGCCCGTGATCTGGTCCAGGAGGTCATCCACCAGCTTCTTGCTGTAGCTCCCGGCATCCTTCACAAACTCCTGCAGGCTGGGAGGGGCCGCGAGAGAACAGGCTGGAAGCCGCCCTCCGTGCCCACGCCCCTCAGACACCCCCCCACAGGACAGGCTCTCGCTAAGCGCTACAGCCCTCCAGGTGCAGCGGTTTGGGGAGTGGAGAACAGTCTTCATCAGAGCGGCCCAGGACCCAGAAGAGTTAAAGAGCAAAGTGAAGAACACGTATCCGCATCCCGATACAGCTCACGCTAGCTTTCACAAAAGCAGCACACTCCTTTCTGCGCATTTTGGATTTAGAAACACAGGGAGACTGAGGAGAGAGTGCTGCGGAGGGCTCCACGCTGGGGAGCGGGGCGGCAGGTACGGGAGCAAGACTCCCCACGTGCACCCTGAGTGTCATTTTGATTTCTGGACCGTGCGAATACTTGAAACTCCAAAACAAGACGAAACAGCAAATCTGGAAAGGAGGCCGGGAACAGAACCCACAGGCCAAGCAGCAGAGCCAGGCCAAGTCCCAGCAGGGGCCCCGGACTGCAAAGGCCCTCACGTGGGGCGGGGAGGGCTGCGGGCCTGGAGGGTCTCCACCAGGAGCCTTGGGGTGGGGAGCAGGGCCGAGCAGCAGCTCTCCCGGGGGAGAAGGGGCGCTGGCACCGCGAAGGGCGCGGCCTGCTTCCCGGGCTGTTCAGGCGGCCCGGGATCCGTAGGCCTTCCAGGAGCTCGTGGAAGGTCATATATTGAGCTCGCTGGGGGCGAGCTCGTGACGGCTGCACTTGCTGTCTGAACCACGGGGAGTGGTGCCCCCAGAGCTGAGCCGAGGAGAGGGCCGCCATTCGGGACACGAGCCTCCCACCTGCAGCTTCCTCCTCGCTTCTTTACCTCCACTTGTCTTTTCGCACAAAAATCAGAGTTAGGTATTCATTTACTGTGTCAGGGGCTAACTGATTTCTTGTTGTGTGCTCTTCAGAGATATTCCGTATTCTCTTTGGAATAAAACAAAGATCTGATATGGGAAGACTCTATTTCTCAGAGACTAGCAAAATCGTTACTTTCCCCATAGGAAACCCCGAAAATTCTAAAAGAATGATCCACTTTTACTTTGTCTCAGAAAACAAAAAATACGAAAACAGTCCTACAGAAATACAATACTGTATCACTAATTTTAACATCACATTTTAATCACAGCTGGGGCTGAACCGCTTTCCCAAAACTCACACGTTGAGGCCCTGAGCCCCCGTACCTCAGAACGTGACTGTATTTTGAGATGGGGCCTTTAAAGGTGATTAAGTTAAAATCAGGTCTTTGGGGGGGGGGGCCTAACCTTGGTGTCCCCAGAGGAAGGGACCTCAGGACACAGACGCGCAGAGGGAAGCCGGGGGAGGGTGCGGGGGACGGCTGTATGCACACCGGCGAGAGAGGCCGCGGGAGGAGCTGCCCTGCCCGCACCTGCACCTCGGCTTCCGGCCTCCACTCCTGGAGGCCGTGAGTGCGTGCTGTACGAGCCGCTTTGTTCTGGCGGCCGGAGCCGTCACGCAGCCACGAGACCCTCTTTAGGACAGCCGCGACCCCGGCTCTCCCTGACGGCGCACGGCCGTCCCACACACGGGCTCCCGTGGCTCCGGCCTGGACCGTCATCACCTCCAAATCCCGACCAAGCGAGTGACCCGAGCTTCAGGGCCGCCTGCGGTGGCCGCGGAGGGCTACTGGAAACAGCCCGGCCCCGCTGCCGCGGACGGCGCACGGCCCCCAGCCCTGCCCGCAAGGGCCGCGCCGCCGCCCACCTCAGCGCGCACTGCACACCCGTCTCGTCTCCGTAGGCCGAGTACAGCAGCTCCACCTCGTCGCACTTCAAGTCGCCGAACACTGAGTTGTTGTGCGTGGACAGGGCGGTGCTGGCACCGGACAGGAAGGTGACTGGGGGGGCGGGGCGGGGCGGCGTCAGGGCTGCGGGCACACGCGGGCCACGCCCCGCGACCCTGCGCCGCCGCCGCCACCGCGCCTCGCCACGCCACGCCCACGCCGCGTCCTCCGAGGACGGGGAGGTCACGCAGGAGCCGCACAAGCCAGAGAGCCCAGCGTGAGCCCCACGCGTCCTCCCGCCCTTCACGCAGGGTCCCCGCTGCAGGCAGTCTCGCGACCCCTCCAACGGATGAAGCGTGACAGCCTGTTGGAGGAAACGTAAACCGCACACGCAGGCGGCTGCCAAGTGCAGGCCCCGCCCCCCCAGCGGCAGAGGCGGCACCTGCCCACCTGCCCGGTGGGCTCCTGATTCCCAGCACTTCCCGGGACCTGACCTGTAAAATGAGGTTCCAAACCAGGCCCGGACGCGGCACCCACACGGTGAGCCGGGGCCCCTGGGGCGCTCACCTCTGCTCCTCCGCTCCTCCCTGAAGCCCAGCGCGGTGAAGCCGGGCAGCAGCTTGCTGGACAGCGCGCTCAGGTCCACCGGGTGCGTCTCCTCCTCTGCAAGGGCACCAGGGCCGTGAGCAGGTGACCCCGGAGCCCCCAGCCCCAGGCAGTGATGGGTGCACGCAGGAGGGCGGGCCCGGGGCTCCCTGGGCCCATCTACAGCCGATCTACCAAGCCGGCTGCCTTTCTCTCGTCTCAGCTGCACCGTGATCTCACCTTAGTGCCCCAGCTCTCATGACAACAGGCCAGCGGTCTGCCCACCACAGGGCAACATAACCTTCCCAAACCCAAGCTACCGCTCACCACCTCCGAGAGACCTTGGGCCACGTGTCACAAGAGCAACAGAGCAGCCTGAGGGCAATTCCTACGCTGAATTCGCCCTTCAAGTTGCTCACGTGACCTGAGCAGGACCCTTCAAATCCCCAATCTGAACCTCAATCTCATGTTCTCTTGCTAAGTGTTGACCAGCTCACCTGTTCTCTTCTAACGAGAACGTTATGATTCACTCCAACTGAAGGTCAAAAGCAGTGGCCAACGCTTGTCCCCCTCATCCATCAAAGGACACTGAGTGACCCTGCTCATCTTGGCGGTGGCGGGGAAGCACCGAGGGGCACGCTGGGCCGTGAGAGCCATCCCACATCCACGCAGGTGAGAACAAGGGGAGTGTTTCACCTGCTGTGTGTGTGTGACAAGCCTCTGAAATACTTTTCCAGAAGATGGAGAAGTATAAAAGTACTTTAAAGACCACAGCCGTGGCCGTACAGGTTGGATGGACCCTCCCTTCAAGGAAGCTCATGCCTCCTTTGAAAGCTTCCCTGATGCAACTTGCCAAGCAGGCTGTGTGGGGCAAATGCCTGCCTCGTTCTAGCCTCGAGGGCAGGCAGAGCTCCGTGCCCCGGTTCCAACAGAGGAGCCTCAGCTGCGCTGTGAGGCAAACCCAGCCCCCAGGGCCTTGCTGCAGCTTTGGGGAGCACGACCCCAAGTGCTTGGGGCTTGGGGCCCTTGGTCCGAAACGTCTGACCAACATCTCTGGCCCCACTGGACGGCCGCCCGCGGTCCACTGACCACATTTGCGTCCTGCTGTGTGGGAGACTGGACACTTCACCACAGCGTTGTGACCAGGGAAAAGGGGCATCTCGGGCAGGCCATGAGGTGCAAGGTCACCGAACGGGACAGAGGTGAGGGGAGCGCGTGTGAGCCGCCCACCGTCTGCGTCCGGCTCGGCCGTGTTGACCACGCTGTAGAGCAGGCTCCCGTCCCCGTTCTTCTTCAGGTAGCCCATCTGCAAGGAAGCACGCCTAAGCGCTCGCTCTCCGGATGGCCCCGGCCCCCTGGCCCAGGGCTCCACCGAGGCACCAACAGAACAGAGGCCTCCGAGGGCAGCCTGAATCCTAAAAGGCCACGAAGTTACTCGTTTCCCTGTGAACAGAGGCCACGTGCACACGTGTGCGATCGAAGAACTTCTGGGACGGGCTCCAAACAGGAGCTTTGAAGACAGAGAGCGAACCCTAGAAACAGCCTTTTCCAGCAGTCAGAGCCCCGAGCACAGCGAGCTGGGTCAGGGCCTGGTCAAGGAGACCAGAGATCCACCTCTGACACCCGTGGGAACTCATCTCCGTTTGAAAACCAGCCTGTGCGCAAGAGCAGCCCCTGCACAGGCTGTCGGGAGGGCCCAGGAAGGGGAGGCTGCCGTGTGGGTCCGTGTGCGAGGGGCCCAGCGTCCGAGCAGGGTGAGTAGGGCACGGTGTAGAGAGGGATGGAGAGGCGACGTAAGTCGGGTTTCTCACGGTGGAACTGCGAAACTATAAGGGGGAAAAGCAAAGCAGACCCACTGGTATTGGACGGAATTGGACGTTTCCGTGTGAAAACTCGGTGTTCAGCGAACGTAAACACGGACGTCAGTACAGGCTGTACAGACGGACGGGGCCTTCCTAGCTTTGTCCACCAGGGAGGGCCCAGGTCTAGGTCTGGGATGCCGCTCTCCGCTAGGGAACCAGGGCTCCTTGGAGAAATGCTGACTCCAGGGCTGAAAGGCCACAGGAGTGCAGACAAGCGAGCTCAACAGAAAGAACTATCACGTGAGCCACACGGGCAACTTCAAACTTTCTAGAAGGCACATTGGAAATAAAAAGAAACACGTGGCGTAAAATGTAACGTATTTCATATAACCCGACACATCCAAATTGTTACCACTTCAAACTTCTTTATGTAAAATGTAAATTCCAACGCATGTTTCGCAGACTTAGTACAAAAAAAAGAAAAGTAAAGCTGTAATACGTCTTTACACAGACTGCACGTTGAAATAAAATTTTAGACGTATCACGTCAAACTAAACACTAGGGTTAATTTCATCTGTGTCCTTGCTAATACGACTACTAGGAAGTTTAAAGCCGCACACGTGTGTGATTCACGCTATTTCTATTGGATGCATGGATGGAGGACACCTTGTGTGTGACAGAGAAGGTGCTCAGAAGAGGGCAGGCCCCCTCGTGAGGACCAGCAGCCCTCTGCACAGGCTCACACCTGGGTCACAGACACGTGAGCACACAGGGGAAAGGATTCACCTACAGCGGAGAGTCCTGGCCGGCTTGGCCTTGGCCCAGGGACAGAGGTTAGCGCCCCTGCGGGCAGGCGGCCCGCACACAACCACACCCCTCCTGTCCTTGAGGTGCCCTTGGAGTCCCTCCCTGCCCTCCGGGAGACCGGCCAGCAGGCTACCACGGCCAGTGGGGACGAGGAGCTGACCCCTCCGGTGACAACAGCGCCGCCGGGACACCAGCGGGACTCCGACCACATGCTCGTAATGACCGGCTAACCTCTCGCTTGTGACGGCCGTGCCACTGTCCTGGCAGAAACACAGCCATCCCGTTTGGGAGCGCTACCTTGCCACCGGGGACCAGCCGGTTGATCCTGTCCCGGGCCTCGTCGGCCGCGTGCTCCACCAAGGCCAGGACGTGCTCCTCCGCGGTGCTGTCGGTCAGGCTGCAGGCGTTTCCTTCCGGCTCGAACATGCAGCTATGAGGCAGAAACAGGCAGGAGTCAACGGGCCACACGTGGGCACGCTCACCCCTCATCCCCACAGTCCGTCCCTCACACCACGCCAGGGCGCGGCACAGGGCAGCGCAGAGCGCACTGTAACTCCCTTCCTTCTCCTTCCGACGCTTCCGCTAAGACGACAAAGTACAAGCCAAGCAGATGCTCCACGTTTCTTGTGTCTCGGCTACACGTTTCGGTCACTTTAAGAGCAACAGGGGCCTCACAGGTTAGTGCCACTCGAGGCGCCAGTAAAAAAATGACAATCCCACGCGGGGCTGGGGCGCTGGCAGTGAGCCTGGGCTGGAGAGCCCCCCGGGACCCAGGGCGCCTAAGACCGCAGAGGCAGAGGAAGAGCGGACTGCCAGCGCCCGAGGGAGGCGCCCCCCACCCCCTCCCAGTGGAAGGCTCTAGAAGCAGAGGCGCCGAGCCCCTGCAAGGAACTGTGGGGCTGGGGTGAGCCCTCCTGGGGCTCTCGAGCCTGCGGAAGGCCCTCGCTCAGGCCCAGGCTCACAGTGACCGGCGCGGGGAGCCCGCCCTCTCGCAGCTGTCTGCCCGAAGCAGCACACCCGCGCAGAGCCTGCAACGGGCAAGCCCAGGTCGCCAATGCGCGTCCTACGCAGGAGGGCATGTCCTGGGAGTGAGGGGTCAACAAATATTCACACAGAGCATGAGTGTGGGAATAGCAGCGACTGGTCAGCAGTGGACACCGCAGAGCCAAACGGCTGGGCCTGGCAAACCACACCTGGAACAGAGCGTGCGTGTGGCTGGCCGGCCGGCCGGCGGGGGTCCGTCAGGGTGACAGTGACTCTCTTCCAGCACAAGTCACTGTGCACTGGCATGCGGAGAGCGTGGGTCACAGAACAGAGAGCCGTGCCCCTCACAACTGACCCCGGGGTTCGGGGTCTTCTGACACTCCCTGCACCCACCGCGGCCACCTCATTCCCAAGGTGGGCAGGGAAGAAGGGTCGCCTCCCTCTGAACACAGGGTCCAGGGCCTGTCCCAGCTGCCTTGAAAGCCCGGGGGCTACAAACATGGCCCTCGGCTTCCAAAGAGCAAATTCTCCCGCCAGCAACGCAGGCAGCCTGTCCACAGAGGCTGCACAGACCCGCGAGGCCCAGCTCGTCACCTGCTCCCCACAGAGCCCTGGCCCCCACGGCGGGCGGTCCTTTACCTGATGACTTCTCTACTCGGCCTTTTGGATTTCTTAGCAGTTTCTACTTGTACGGGCACAACTTCAGGAACAGGCTCCTCGACGGCTGTATCTTCGTTGCCCAAAAGAGCTGCCTGCTGAGAAAAATCCATGTCCTGCATAAACGACATGCTGCGCTTCAAAGCTAACAGCCGCTCCTAGAATCAGAAAGGACAGAGCAGCAGGGACTTTACCTCTCCCTCCGGCCAAGGCACCATGACGATGGGATGGGATGGGTGGCCACAGCCTCACCTGGCCTAACAGCTAAGCTGCCACGGGGTGCGGCACCAAAGGACGTGCCAATTGGCCGGGAGCGGTCAGAGCCGGTGGGGATGCACCTCACCTATGGGCTGGTCAGGCCCAAGGCACTGGTCCTAGATGCGTGACGCATGCAGCCTGGCTCACGGGAGAGGTCGGGGAAGCCACCTGGGATGCCCGGGATGGCTGTCTGGATTCAGAGAGGCAACCACGTAAAACAAGCCCGCAACGCAGGCTGCGACCCAGTGAGACCAACAGATCTGGAACTCTGCACCAACCCTACGCGAGACCCTGCAGCTGGGGCAGGAGCAGAGAGCAGAGAGCGCCTGCAGGAGAGGGGCGTGGGGAGGGCGGCTGGCTGGGGGGCTACCCTAGAGCAGAGGGTCCACGCCGTGGCCAGGGGCGGATGGATGGAAGCATGTCAGTCGCTGTGAGCTTCTGTTTAGGCACAAGGGTCGCGGAGGAGGACGCTCACAGCCGAGGCTCCTCGCTCGCTGTTCGAGGGCCCCTTACTTTGCTCATCATCTTAAAGCCCGCGTGGAGGATCTTCTTCGCTAACTTGTAGTACACGGTGTCTGGCCTGTTGTACGTCATTGCGTTATCACACATCAGTTTGAAATCCGCCTGAAAAGAAAAAAGAATGCATCAACTTTGAAACACCACAGATAACAACAAAGAGTTGAGGTTTCTATCAGGAGGCCGCAAGTGGCTGAAACAGAGTGGAAAACAATTTGGCTCTCTAATTCAAGGAGTAACCTTTGTTAATTTATATGAACTTTCACACGTTATTTTCCACTACGGACTACTATTAAGATATTGAGCATATAGTTCCCTGTTCTATGTAGTAAATCCTTGTTGCCTATCTGTTTTTTATATATAATAGTCTGCAACTGTTAGTCCCAAAGTCCAAATTTATGCTCCCCCCCCATGCCTGTCCCCTTTGGTAACTGTAAGTTTGTTTTCTATGCCTGTGAGTCTGTTGCTGTCTTGTACATAGATTGTTACATTTTTTACACTCCACAAGTGATGTGTAACATTTGTCTCTATCTGACTCACTTCACTAAGTATGATCGTCTCTAGGTTTATCCATGTTGCTGCCAATGGTAATATTTCATTCTTTTTTTATGGCTGAGTAATTAAAGAGTACTTTTTAAAAACTCTGAGAAATTTTCATAAATGTTCATCAGTCTTTACTTGTATGAAAAATATTCCAGTGAGAAGCTTGCCAAAGTGTGTAACTTCTTTCTGAACGTGATACACACATTTCACAGGAGTAAAATGCTGGTTCCCTCTGCTTCCTTCCTGACCCACCCTATTCCCTCTCTTTGGAAGGAACTCAGACATTAATAGGAACAAAAACCAACAACCAGTTCTTTTAAGCAAAAGCAGAGGGATTAACTGAGAGGTGGGCATGTCCTCTACCTCTGGGATTTTTCCATAGGATTTAAAATTCTGTCTACAGACAGTCACTCTAGTACCATTAGAAAAACATTTTTCTCTAAAATAAAGAAGAGTCTTAGTGAAAAACTTACAATAACAGTATATGCTTGGAAATATCAGCATTTTACCACCTAGCCAAATTCCTTAGGGTACACCTGTCACAGGTGAGTCAGACCTCAGGATGGACGACTGCTAACGCAGCGTGTGCCACCTGGAGTCCTTACCAAGTCACGGTGCCGGTGTCCCCAGGGCTGGGACTGAGGCCATAAAGTCCCTCTGTCACAAGGCCCAACTGTGACAGGTTCAGAACACTCTCTGGAGGACACGTCTTGGCTTTGTCCCTGGGTGAGTGACCAAATTAGGGGCCTGCAGGTAGACAGGTCGCCTCTAGGACATGGATTATTATTAACCACCTGCCCACAGGAGTAGTGCCTGACCTTCCTATGAAAACTTTCCTTTTCTCCCACCCTCCCTTTAGTCTGTTGTGCTGTTTCTGCAGGTCAGCAAACCCTTTCAGTAAGTAAGGTCTCCAGTAAATACAAACAGAAAAGCCAAGCTTTTCCGAAGTTAACAGAACTAAGAAACCTAATGCCTTTTTCTAAGTGACATTATTGTCAATGTTGTCAAGCATTTGTTTTGATCTTCCCCCGAATCTGAAAGCCAATGAGCAATTTTTCCCTTTCACAGCCAGTGCTGAGAAACAGGGAGTCAGGAACAGAGTAGTCAGGAGACATGAAGATTTATTATCCTAAAAAATTTAAACTCCCGGTTATTAAGATAAGGAAAATTATGTTTCTAAAAATACCCATTCTGGGGCCAGGCCAAAACGAACACATCCTCGCTTGACCCAACATGTCCGTTTATGCCAAAACAGTAACTTAAAAAGAAACACATCTACTAGCACGCAACATACAGGCCAGCTTCTAGACCAAAATACTGAGAAAAGTACAACCAACCCCTATGCTGGCGAAACGTCAACCCAACGTAGAAACACCCACGAAAACTTGGAACTGGAAACAACCTAAGATGTATGAAGTGTCTACTGGACATGAAGACACATGGAGCCTCCTAACAATTACTTCAGGAGCTGAAATGAATTTACCTTAAATTCCGTGACTGACTTGTATTCATTAGCTACAATTTTGTCTCTCATTGTGCCAAAATCCATCGGGTGTTTTATTATCATTGAGTATCCAGGAGCAATTGCATCCGTGACAGGAAAAGCAAAAAATCCATGAGGATCTTTTCTGAAAACACAAACATCTTCATTTAAACTGGAAAAACCCTGAAATCTAAATTTCTAAACAAAACCCCTCACAGTTAAAAATTTGATACAATTAACCAGATCTTAAGATTTGTTTCTTAAAAATAACAAATAAAATTTATGCTCTTTAAAATTGTGGTATTTTGGATACACTGAAAATTCCAAAACTACCATCCCGGCTCCTGCCATGACTCTACATCAGGGTGTCTGACAACCGGTGCAGACTCAGAGGAGATGAAGGAGGTGTTCTTGAGCCCTCCCAGCTCTGCTCCCACTTGGCAGTGCCCCCACCGCCCCGACTGAGCGTTACCCAGTGAAGGTGAAGTGCTTGCTTCACAGGTGACAGGGGTGAGGCAAGAACACCAGAGAGAGAAGACACCTCAGATGTCCCCTAGCACAAACCCTTTAGAAAAGCTCTTTACCTCTGGAGCTGGCGGAGGAAATGCTCTAGTAGTTGCTGAATAGGCGTGCTCTCATTTTCAGCTGACGATTTCAAAAGTGAAAAAATAAAATTGAACAAAAGGATTTTGGTATCACTTCACCAGAAAACAAACTCCAATTTCGTAATACTTATTTATCTAGTTCTTGTTCTACAATGTTGTGGGTTCAAATGAGAACTGGATATAAAGATAAGCAGGGGGCTTCCCTGGTGGCGCAGTGGTTGAGAGTCCGCCTGCCGATGCAGGGGACACGGGTTCGTGCCCCGGTCCGGGAAGATCCCACATGCCGCGGAGCAGCTGGGCCCGTGAGCCATGGCCACTGAGCCAGTGCTCCGCAACAGGAGAGGCCAAAACAGTGAGGGGCCCAAATCTAAAAAAAAAAAAAAAAAAAAAGATAAGCAGATCCCACAAAGCTCAGCAGGGTGAAAAAGGGCACCCACAGCATTGGTCCCCTAAACCCCTCAGACTGCCAACACCCCTCTCAAACAGTGATGTAGAGCCATCACTCATCACCCTGTCTCCAGCCCCCATCACTCCTGGGCCTGGGACATTCCACACAAGGTATGAAGCAGCAGACGAAGGCTCTGGACATAGAAGCTGACCCTGGATGCACCGATATCGTTGTACTTGATATCGTTTATGGGCCTAAACTTCTGGGCACGCCCCTGTTTATCTGTAAAATGGGGATAAAAATGAGAGTTCCTGTGAGGACTCCAATTGTTAACCACGTCTCTGGGCCCACAGCGTGAAAAACACGGTTTTCAGGGAATGTGAACGCAGATGTCGGTACAGGTTTCCTTCCGCAAGAGTACGTATTAAATGGTCCTCCCTAGCTTTGTCCCCCAAGGCCCACACCCAGCGCCCAGATCTGGCATTCTGAATGCTGTTCTCCACCAAGCAACCAGAGCTCCTTGGGGAAATGTCTCACTTCTGGGCTGAAGGGCAACACGAGTGCAGACCTGCGGGTCCCAAGAGTGACGCTCTTGAGAGTGATCAGGACAGGTCCAAGAGAGCATCGTCTGATCGTGAGTTTTTCAGGTACACTGGGGCAGGTGCTAAACGTATGATCTCCAACAGGCCGTTAGGCAGATTAAGCCAGCAAGTACTAGTAACTCTAGTAACTTCAGGCGCGTTCATCTGAGGCACTGATGCTCTGTGCCTGACCTTCTCTGCTCCACAGCAGGCCCAAGGGCCCTGAGTCCTACCTGTTCCCTACAGCAATGACTCCCACAGCAGAGGGTGTTGCCAGGAAGCAGCAACCCCACACTGCAATACAGTACCCCCCCCCCCCCCCGCAACTCAAAGGTGGCCAGACCCCAAGCCAAGGAAGAAACCCCTGCAGAACAAACCTGCCTCCAGTTCAGCACCTCCCGACTACCTGACAGCCTCTGAGGGAAGCGACCACACACAGATCAGAGCGTCCCGAGCACGCCAGAAGCCTTTCTCTGCTGGAGCCAGCATAGCTCCCGGGGGGATGATGTCCTGAGTAACTGATGCCAGCACTAACCTCCTCCCGTCCACAATGAGCTTCTCATTAGCTCCTGGGCTTTAAAAAAAAAAGGCCAGCAGCGGTGGGCCAAACCCTGCTCTAGAAGTTCAGAGAGGACGGCAAGAACCTTAGGTCCATCCAGCTACTCTGTGTGAGGCCCTGGGAGAGAAAATGCTGTTCCTTCCTTCCTATGCTTCTCCCAAGAGTTGAAGGGCGGATGCCAACCACTAGTTCACAGCGACAAGCTCCAAAGCTCCAGGACGTCTCTGAAAACGCCGCCACTTGCCTGGCTGTGTCCGGCACGCTCGGACAGGCCGGTCGGGGGGCGGCTCCACCTCCACCTTCTTCCCCGGATCAAAGTCGTCCGCCTCTCCCTCTGTGTCACAGTGTTCCTTTTCCCGTTTCCGCTTCTTCTCTTCCTGTGAGGCAGGGTCAAGGCAGCGAGAGCAATGAAGCGCTTGTTAACAGACCTCGCGTTCCTCAGGGAAAGCTAAGAGAGAAAAGCCCTCTTCCAGACCCCCTTCTTACTCCAGGCCACCACCCTTCAAAGACCCGCCCCCCAGGGTCCAGACAAGAAACGATGCACAAAGAGCCAAAACCGAAGCAACCGACCTCCGCACAGCGCACCCTATGAGAAACAGAACACTCGCTTCCGGAGGCCAGGAAGCCCTCGCTCCACCTGCCCCCCAGGGGTTTCGGCCGCCCTCGCTCACCTTTCGCTTCCTTCTTTCTTCATCGTCAAGGTGCTTCTCCTTCTCCGACTTTTTCTTTTTTTTCTTCTTCTTCTCCTTATGCCTCTCTCGCTCGTGGTCTGACCTGTCATCGTAGTAACTGGAGTCGTGGCCGGACCCTGAGAGCTCTGTCACTTCACTTCCTCCAACCTTGAGCACCAGCTTCAGGGGCTTCTCCAAAGGCTTGTCCGCATAGTCTGTGGACACGCAGGCGACCTTCACCGTGTGTGCTCAGGGCGCTCAGAGGCGCATACTGCTGCCCTGTCGGCAGCATGGCGGGCCCAGGGTGGGGTGTCACGGGGAGGACACAGAGGCCCAGGAAGGTGGGGGGATCGGCTGAGCTCAGGTGGACGGCAGGGGAATGCCAAAGCCAACAGCGAAAGATGCTGCTGGGGTCAAAGACAGGTGGGGTGCTCCCTCCCTCTCGCCCACAGACATTCTCAGGGGGGCTGCAGGGAGATCTCTGGGTCACTGTCAGGGGGAAGGAGCCAGACCACGCCTGGGGCCCAGGCGCACAATCCTCTACCCCCAGGTCCTGGCCCGTGGTCACCCCCTTCCTGTCCTGCAGCAGTCCCCGTGCGGCGTCCCTGACACCGGGACCAGGGGCTGCCGGACCAGGGCACAGCCGGGAAAGGCGGGAGAAGACCTCGGGAAACACGGACGAAGAACCACAGAGGTGCTCAGCGCTTCTCTCCAGGATGCGGCCAGAGCTAGACGGACGCTTGAGAGGCGCGTCCCCGAGACCCCCGCCGGCGCGCCCCGGACCCCCGCTCTCGTCCCCGGGATCCCCGCCGCCTCGAACGCCCGCCCGTCTGCCCTCCCGGCGTCACAAAGCGCGTCCGCCACCTCACCCTCGTACGACGAGCGCCACTCGGCCTTATGCTTCTTGTGCTTCTTGCCCATGGCGACGGCGCCGAGGGCAGCAGCGAGCCCTGCCGCACCGTGCCCGCCGACCCCTGGCCCCCGTTCTCCGCCCGCCTCGCCGCGGAGCTTGAGGGATCGCGCCGGAAGCGGGCGCCGAGACCGGAAGTGACCCGCCCGCCGGCGCAGGCGCTTCCGGGTCAGGGGGCGGGACGCTGCGCGCGGCAAGTTCGAAGCGCGGGCGCGGCGGAGGGCTGAGGCTGCGGCGGTGGCGGCGGCGCGGGACGAGAGGCGGCGGCGCGGGACGAGAGGCGGCGGCGGCCGCGGTCCGGTCCGGTCCTCTCGGCTCTCGGCGGCGGCGCCATGGACGAGGCCGTGGGCGACCTGAAGCAGGCGCTGCCCTGCGTGGCCGAGGCGCCGACCGTCCATGTGGAGGTCCACCAGCGGAGCGGCAGGTGAGCCGGGCCCCGAGCCGGCCGCGGCGCAACCCAGACCTGACAACACCCGACCTCGACCCGCCCCCCGCGAGCCTGACCCCGACCAGATCCCGCCCTGACAGGAGCCGACTCCGATCCCGAGGCGGACTCCGGCCCGGCCCCGGCCGAGCCAGGGAACGCCGGGCTCTGGAACTGCCGGTCGCAGGAGCTCCGAGTCTGGGGAAACGGCCCTGACCCCGCACCCTCGCCCGCAGTCCCGATCCCCGGCGAACCCTGTCTGGCCTAGGTGGGCGGGGAGGGGCCGGGGCGCCGGGGGTGCCGGTGGCGGGTGACGGGCCCCGGCGGGCGGCGGCGAGGGGGGAGGCTCTAGGGGCAGCCGAAGGGCCTGCGAGGTCTGGGAAGCAGCGGGCAGGGGGCTGAAGGGGGACCGCAGCTCACGGCCTCGTCGCCTGCCGCCGCAGCTGTGGGGCTTCCAGTCTCCGCTAATCACAGCCCTGTCACTGCGGCTGCGCTTTGCGGGCTTCACGTTGGGCCTCGCGTTATCCAGCACAGCTCCAGCGTAGTGACTGACCTCCAGGAGCCCAGGGTGGCACCGACTCTTGCCGTCGCCCCTTCTTCGGATGGGGACCTGGGGCACAGAGCCCTTGGGCGGCTTCCCCAGGTCACGAGGAGTCCGCGCAGGTCCCGCCTGCCCTCTTCACTGCTTTTTTTTTTTTTTTAATCACTTATTGTTAAAATGTTGGTTTTTAACTCAGACCTGATTTACGTGTTTTGTTTGTTTCCCTAGCACTGCAAAAAGAGAAGATCTAAATCTGAGTGTTAGGAAGCTCCTCACCAGACACAACATTGTGTTTGGCGATTACACGTGGACTGAGTTCGATGAGCCTTTTCTGGCCAGAAACGTGCAGTCTGTGTCCATTGTTGACACGGAATTAAAGGCTAAAGGTCCACAGGTAACTCGCTAATTCTCAGCGGCCCCGTGAACGTGCACTTGCTGTTTTGAGAGTGTGTTGTGTAGATTTATTTGATGTTTCCTTCTCGTCGCAGCCCATTGATTTGAGCATGTGCACTATTGCACTTCACATCTTCCAGCTGAATGAAGATGGCCCCAGCAGTGAAAATTTGGAGGAAGAGACAGAAAATATAATTGCGGCAAACCATTGGGTGCTGCCTGCAGGTACCCATGACAGTAACAGTAGGCAGAGCATGCCAAGAATGGGGGGTCGGAGGATGGCACACGCCTTGGGCTTATCAAGGAGATTTTGTCCGCTGTGCAGAATTTTAGAATGTTGTATCTGTTATGAAGTAGAAAGTATATCACAACAGAGCAGGGTAGAAACTTCCAGTATGAACCTGTTTGGATGTGGATCCGTCAAAGACAGTGCCCACTGAGAATTACACTGGCGCTCTGCTTTCCTGCCCAGTTGGTCAGTCTTGCTGGACCGCTGCTTTCTCCTGCCTTCTCGATGCTCCTCCGTGAACTTTGCCGATGGGGTCTAGCAGGCAGAATCCTGCTTCTAATCCGGGTTAGGCTTGATGTCCTAACGACTGGAATAGACCCGCCGCTCAGCCCTGCTGGAATGTCGGCTTGTGGGGAGAGTGGTGGGTTCAGGGTCTGTGCTTGTGTCCGAGCATAGGTCCACAAAGACAGGTGTGCAGAATAATACGACAAAGAGGTTAATTATCTATGCAAAGCCACGTGCGACTGCCACTTATTCAACATCTTTAATTTTAAGAACAATTTTAAAAGTTTAACTTCCCTGTAACCAGAATTTTAGCTTACCGCGTGTGGAGCAGTGGAGGGCATCAGTGGCTCAGGGCAGACCTAACCAGTAGGTGCAAGGCTTCCTTTCCTAAAATTAGGTTTTTGTTTTATTCTCTCAGCTGAATTCCATGGGCTTTGGGACAGCCTGGTGTATGATGTGGAAATCAAATCTCACGTGAGTTGTGCATTTTTCCCAAAAGACCCCATTATTTGAAGTAGAATCATTATTGTGTCACTCTCTAGCACTCCTTAACTCAGATGGGCTTTGTGAACACTGCTTACCAGCAGCCCATGTCCTGGATTTCTGTCCTGTGGGATTGCTCCTGAGTGGAGCTGCCCTCCGGGGAGTTCCCCTTGGAAGAAGGGGGAGCGTTGGGAGGGTGAAGACCACTTGCACTGGGTCACACGCTTGGTATGACCAAGCACGTGCACATGGTCACTCCCGTGGGCTGAGGAGGCAGTGCTGAGGGGCAGACCGAGCAGGTGGGCAGGTCTGAACCCCCTTCAAGGGGAAGAGTCCTGCACACTGGGGGGGCACTAGGGGTCTGTCCCCACCGCCCCTCATCACCCCAGGCTCCTCCAGGCAGCCACAGTGGACCGCAGAGCCCTGGCTGTTCTTTCAGTGAATGTGCCATGTGCTGGTCCACTGCTGTGTCCCAGAGGAAGGAGCTCACTCTTACTTGGCGTGTCCCTCAGTAGTTTTGTGTGTCGTTGGCATTTTAAATAAAAGTGATCTTTGTGTTCACCGTTTATCCTTAAAACAGTAACAGCCAGCGCTTGTCCTCTCATGTCTCAAGTTACCGTCCCAGTTGAAAGCCTGTAGGTGTGTGGCAGGTGTCTGGCCGTGGCGGTCTCTGAAGACTCCCGTCGCTCTACTCGCTTAGGGCACATTCAGCGGAACCTTTGCCTTGCTGGGGACTTCACCTGTACTTTTCCTTTCTCCACGCAGCTCCTTGACTACGTGATGACAACTTTACTGTTTTCAGACAAGAATGTCGACAGCACCCTCATCACCTGGAACCGGGTGGTGCTGCTTCACGGTAAAGCATCACAGCTTTTGTTTGTGTGACAAGATCAACTGTGCGAAATCAGGCTTTTGCTTGTGGCTTTGTCCTTCTGCGAGGAGTTGCAGCTCCTTTTTCCTGGGGGGGCCAGAGTTGTCCTAGAACATCCTCCTCTGTGAAGCCAGTCGGGCTCACACTATCTGGGCTTTGGTTACTTGACCCTTCATTTGGCAGCCACCTGATTATGCCTTTAATACTGTTATTAAACTTTTCACATAACTGCCTTATTTTCCGATTGATCGTGGACTCCTTAGGATAGCAGTTGCCTCGTATTTCTTCATAGTGTCCTTAGAGCGTCCCTTGATGGCTAGTAAACTGCAAAAGCCACACTCTACAGGACTCTGCCTAGTTCTTGGAGGAGAGTACTGGGTTTCCTTTCTTAATGTCCCTGGAGAGAAAAGAATCGAGAGAAAACCCCAGTTATAGTGAAGTAGGAGCTATAATTAAAAGGGTGATTAGTCTCTTTATACAATAAAGATTGTAGGCTCGTATACAACTTTAAGAAAACAAAGTTTCTTAAATAGCATATATTCTGGCAGATTGGCTTAATGCCAGGGTCAGTGTAGGCAATCCAGAGGCGTTTTAATTAGTGCAGTACGTTACTTGCATTTAGAATTGGTTGTATGTTTACTCTTAGACTATGGAAAATGCAGAAAATCAAAGTTGAACGTGTCAGCATTTTCTGTTGGATGGGTTCATGCTTCCACATCAGTTACCTCAGAGTTCCTGCAAAACGCTGTGCTAAGTGACGCACACTCAGGGCACAGGCCCTCGCCTTACGGCTCTCCCTGTGTAGCGTGGGGCTCGGGCCCACGTCCAGGTATCTGGAGTGGAAGATGGTGGTTCCGTGGGCTTCAGAAAGAGCAAACGTCAGTGCCTTCAGAAGGGTCCTGACGGCTACCAGGAAAGGTGTGTTTGACTTTTGAAAGATGGATTTTCATAGTCAGTGGATTTCATAGAGGATGTGTGGGGACGAAGAGGATGTCAGTGAAGATGTGGACAAAGGAACGTGGAGCGGACTGTGGGCCAGGAGGCATACTTGGTGATGTTTTCTAGCATTTACACCGCTAGGAGATTTCTTTGTAAGTTCATGAGCGGTACTTGTGGTAATAACATTCGTAGCATTGAAGCCTGTTCGTTATCTTATATCCTGTGGATAACGCAACTACTGTCGTTTAAGAAATTTCTTATAGCACTAACTTAAAAACATATTTGCTTGCATTTTGTTACAGGTCCTCCAGGAACTGGAAAAACATCCCTGTGTAAAGCTTTAGCCCAGAAATTGACCATCAGACTCTCAAGCAGGTAACTTTGGTAATTTGAGAGAGGAGAGCCACAGAAGTGGGTTTGCTGGGTTTTCAGTTATAACAACGGAAGCTGTTTTTATTTTTAAATCATTTTACATGAAGAGTAGGTCTCTGTCTTTCAATGTAAGTTAATGAACTCCTCTGTACTCAGCGTTGTCTTGAGTTACGATTCCAGGCTTTTTAAACGTGGTGAGACTTGCTTTATGACCAGCACGTGGTCTCTCCTGGTGGCTGTCCCACCACGTGCACTTAGAACGTGCTTCTGCTCTCGTCGGCCGACTGTTGCGTGTATGTTAGCTCAGGATGCTTGGTGTCCATGCTGATCGTCTGTCTGCTGTTCTGTCGCTTGCTGGGAGGACTGTCCAAGCGTAGCACTGGGTGTGTCTTCCTTGAGTTTTGTCAATTTTGGGGTTTATAGTTGTATCACATTTAGGGAATATCTGGCTGTTATCTTTTCAACTAATACCCTGCTCTCTGCATTTGTTTACACGTTACACTGCCTGATACTGTCCCACAGGCCACTGATGTGCTCTTATGTGTTTTTCAGGCTTTAAAAATTTTCTGTCTGTGTTTCATTTTG